AGTATCAATCGAATGTCCGGTATTCTCTTCTAAATCAAAACAAAATATTATGTCTCATTTTACGTAGTACACAATCAAATTTAAATTGAATATGTTTTTATAGCGTTTAGATTAAGAATTAAACCTTCAATCGGTCATTTATGGAAAAATTACTATTTTTCGTGTACTCGATTGGAATCCTTATTAGGATCTATTTGAATTTAAGCGATTTCAGCACTTCCATTGCAGACCGGGTTGAAGTGTCAACACCATTGAACTCTTGGAAAAGAGGTTTGAATAATTTACTGTGTTCAATAGTTCATCTGTTAGCATCAGTTTACTTATTACTATACTGTGTATTCTCATATTATGTTAGATGATTATATTTTGTGCCTACACCACAGCTAAGAATAAAACTAGGGTGTGACCTTTTATAAATGTCTTTTCATTGTAGGTATTAAAATGATTATTGCAAATATTTATTAAAGCATGGCACATTGTCTACTATAGAATGTTAAATTGCATGCTAGTTTCCTTATAAGTTATAAATTATTGAATGGCTTGTTTTTCAAAGTTCATCTTGTACTTTTTTTGTGCAATAAAAGTTCTTTGCTATTTGATCATCTCATTTCTATTATCAGATCTTTTGGGCAGTACTATTGTACAGAGAAGGACTGGTCCAGGAGGCTGGTTGGTAAATCCTTATTACCTAGGCCACTTTCTATGTTGATGCCATGTCAGGTTATACAAAATGAATTCTTTTTTTTTTATTTGTGTTACACACCATACAATTTGAGTACAATAAGCGTAAATTATAACACAGAAAAAAAGACATTTAAAATTTGATTTGAAGAAGCCTTCCATTGACAACACTCCTTAGGGCGCTATGTTATACAAGTATAGGATTAATTAAAGAAAAGATCACGGCACTATTTTCTTTTCATTCTTTTGGGAGAGTTTCCTGGGATAGGTAAGGTCAAATTTTTTGCAAGGTTGTTCAGGTGAATAAAATGAATTCTATAGACTTAATGTAATACACTATAGTGTAGATATGTAAGCTACAGTGTAGGGTTTTAATTTTTTTATCATACTGTGGTAAACAATGTATGTTCAAGTAATATTGAATCTGCAAAACTCTAAAGATTTCAAAAAGTTTCTGAAACCAATAGGTACTAGTTAATGGTCTAGAAAAAAATCTCTAAACTAGTGTAACTAGCAACTGCAACTACTAGTGATGTCTATTTATTTCCTGCTGTCATGTACATATTAAATCATATGTTGACAGATTATTTATTCAATGCTAAAATTTCAGCAGAAGGTTRCTCMTTATTAATTGACCTATGTGAATTTTAAACAATATTAACAGATCGTCTATTTCTACATATTTGTAATATGGTTGGTCCAATTTCTGATTATTTACAAACAAATAAAATTAATATTACATGGTTTAAAGTAGAATGTGTCTAAAAAGCAATTTATTAGATGAAATAAAGCTTGATATTATATATTCTGATGCCTAAAACTTTCTGACCTAAATTTATCCGTTTTGTTAAAAAAGGAATTTCTCAACCTTAAAAGTTCAACAATTAAAAAAATTAAGGGAAAACATGATATTGAGAGCATTTGTATAACAAGTAATCTACTTTGGTAGAATGTTCTATGTACAAATTAAAGAAAAACATATTTTGTATTACTAGTACCTACGCTATATCATACATTTGTTCATCAAATATAAAAAAATAAATAATAATTAGTCAAATATAATAAAAATTTCTATTACAGTTTTATTTTTAGTAGGTATTATTTAAAAATTTTAAAAAATTATTTCGAAGATTAATTGATCTCAACCATGCTTCAGTAAGATGATAATGTAAAAGTTCYGATGTAGTGCCACACATTTTTCAAAGTATTTTCATTTTAAGATGTGACCAAATACATTTTATATTCCTATTGTCTAGATGTTGGCTCCTGTGTGTTGATTTTCCATCAACAATCATTTTATAAAATTCAGACATACGCATTATAGGTAAACTCCGATTGATGAACAATTTAAAACAAACTGTTCCGAGATCAGCAACATTGCTAATGACTGGTCATATTGTAAATATCTTTAATCGTTATCGTAACAAAATGAATCGTCTGCGATAATGTGCGTATAATAATAGTATAGTATAATATAATATAATAATAGGTAATAATAATTGTAGATCACCAACTACACCTAGTTTAATATGATAGATCACCTGATACACCTTAAAGAGGTCGTAGATGATTGCCTGCTACACGAATGCTATATTGAGGACTGTATGAATTGTTTGATATGTTGTTATAAAATCTTTTATAACTTATTAGTACCATATTCATTCCATTGCCTATACAAATATATTTTTAGCACATGAATACATACTTAGATTATCTTTCACACAAATCAGCTGTGAAAGGTTATTGAGTTAAAACAAGATTGAGAGCAACATTGGGCCAAGATAAACTTGAAGCTTTTCTAATGATGAGTATAAAGAAAGATTTTTTAAGAGATTTAAAATTCAAAGAAATATTTGAGTCCATTAACAACAATAACTGTTGGTGAAATGAATGAACTGCTTATCATTGATGAAAAAAATGTATGAATATAATATAAATATCAGATATCTAAATTTCTTTTTTTTATTTATAAATTTCTCACCAAAATATGTTATTTAAGAAAATTGTATCTTTTTAATATTGATATTATTATAAAATTAAGCAATATGGGTACAAGAGGAAGAATAACTTACATTACAACCCCCTTGTAGTGATGTGATAATCTCCCAAAAAAAACTTAAAATTTATTTTTATTTTTTGGTTTCAAACTTATATTGTTTCTAGTACCTAATTAATACTTAAATACAATTTATTTTTTGTACTGCAGCTTAATTAATACCTAATGTAATCTAATTTTTTTTTTTCTAGTTATTGAAGGTGTATCTTTATACAATGAGAATATCAATCCATATGATGGGGATTTATTTCACGAGACTCCATTGGCTCTTGTATTTTTCAGTCACTTGACATCAACTTTTTCAGATTTTTATGTATCATTAGTATTTATTGCGTGTGATCTCATAACTGCCTTCGTATTGTACTATACGTCTAAAATTTACACTGAAAATTTGGTATGTTAAGTGCATAATATTATTTTTATTTTCAATTTGAATACTTGTAGTACTTACATAGTTTTCTTATTTTAATACTAATTTAGCTTAAACAGCAAACCAAAACAAAGCATGTCTACAATAAAGAATTTAGCAAATTATTGATACCAGATGACTTCTCAGTTATAAATCCGTTTTATGTTTGTTCAGTTTACATGCTTAACCCATATACGGTGTTTAGCTGTATTTCAAGAACAACAACAGTATTCAACAACTTATTTTTAGCACTATGTTTATATTCCATGGTAAAACGTAAGTATCTATATTCTGTGTCTCTGTTTTGTTAGAGAACAATCACATGTTGCGCATCATGAATGATGCGATTGATACGTTAATACTGGGAACTTGGTAAGAGATGTAGAGATGTGCATTACTTACGTAAATCAGTTGGCCCACTGATTATTCTCTTTTGAGACAGAGTATACATTTTTCTAAATGTTATAATTATTAATATTTTGACTTTTATTAAATCCTTAAATACTGCTACTGAATAAAATTATTTAATGAATATTTTTTTTTTTTTAGGGCATAGACTATTAGGATGTCTGAGCTTAGTATTAGCATCATTGCCAACGTTTTACACATTTGGTCTACTAGCCCCGTTAATGATAAGTTGTGTACCAAATGACTCTAAAAATAAGACTGGTTCATTCATAATTACATTTTTAACTTGTGGTACCATTAGTTGCTCACTTCTGTACTTATGCTATACCATTATGAACGAATGGACATTCCTAGACTCTGTTTATGGCTTTATGTACATACTTAATTTTAATGTTACTCTACTCTATGGTTTTTAAGTATTAATATGATAATTTATTTTTTCAGATTAAATGTACGTGATTTAAAACCAAATATTGGCTTGTTTTGGTATTTCTTTACTGAGATGTTTGAACATTTTCGTGCACTATTTGTTTGTGCTTTTCAATTAAATGCATCTGTTCTATATGTTATTCCATTAAGTATACGTCTCCGCCGTGACCCATTGTTGTTAGCCACCAGTTTGTTAGCATTAACTGCGGTTTTTAAGTCATATCCAAGCATAGGAGATGTTGGATTTTACCTCAGTCTTCTTCCAATTCATAGACATCTATTCTACTGTATGTCAACTGAATAATTAATATCATTCATTAGCTTATAAAAAAAATACATATATATTATTTAATAAACTTTTATATTAATTTCCAGTTATGCAACAAGCATTTATTGTATCATGTTTCTTTGTGGGTTGTACCGTTTTTGCTCCTACTGTGTGGCATTTGTGGATTTATTCACGTTCAGCAAATGCAAATTTCTATTTTGGAGTTACTCTTGCTTTTGCCACAACTCAAGTAAGAATTAAAAATGTTTTTATGATCTAGGTATATCCAGTTTGTTCAAAAAAATTTAATTGATTAGGTTTTATCACTGTTTTATGTTTATGATTTAATATATGTATTAAATAATAATAAATATCATATAAATATATGGTATTAAATTGTTTATCAATATCATGGTTTATATATAATATTTTTCTAGATATTCCTGATCACTGATTTATTGTTTGCATATATCAAGCGAGAGTTTGCACTGAAACATGGCATGAAACGTATGATCAATGGAAAAGAAGCTCGTTTAATGCTTGATTAATATAATTTTATGTCAAATATTTAATGAAGAATTCTAAAATTTTGATTATTTAACAACTTAGAAAAAAACATTTTTTATACTAAAACACATCATACCAAATTTCATCTAATAACTGTAATTTATAAGTAAAATGTAAAATATATTTTTACAAAAAACAATAAAGTAAAATTGTACAAAACATGATGAACGGATCTCTTTAGATTTTCTACTTCCCTGTAATTCCTAATGTAATTAATTAATTGCAAGTATATAATGTGTATAAGATAAAAACAACTGTGGTCAAATGGTATGTGTCCTATTATTTTCTGTGACATCTAATAAAGATTTTTTTTTCTTATAATTTTCCCTCATCACATCCTCATATCCAGGTGGTGGTGTGATTACGGTTTCATATCTTGGTGGTGTTTCCTGCATGCTCTCTGGTGAACAATATGTTTCTGGTATTTCACAACATTCCTAAAAAAAATTATTTTATAAAGTTTTATCGTTTTTAATAATTTTATAGAAAATTTGATTTAGTGTTATGGATAGCAGTATTTAATAATGATTAATATGTTAAGTATTTGTTTCGCTGTAATCACTCAACAGCTATTTTCTGTGTTGTATTAATTTTTTCATTAACGTCAACTGCTGACTTTTAAACCATTAGTATTTACACTTATCAAACATTGTAATTGAGCCTGTTTTTATGGCTATTGGCCGTGCTAAAAAATATTATTTCTGTTTTTTTTTTCGTTTATAATTAATTAGTGTTTATTACTTGTTGTAATGACCATTGTAGTGCTTCATAGTATGTGTTTGAATTAACATCAATCCAAAAAGGTTGTGGTTGTTCATCACATGTTGTTGTATCAAACTTGTTATCTTTCCATCGACAACAATAACACATCCATAAAATAAATAATATCATGCTACTCATCATAACCCTATTGTTAAAAAAAATTATACAATTATTTTATTAATAGTACCTAATAGAGTATTAACCGTTAACATTCAAATGTTAAATTTTAATTATTTTAATGAAKTTTTTCTAGAATATGTAAAATTTAAATATGTTTCAGTTTTTTAAAATATAGTTATTTATATACAATATTATATACCGTTAAAATGATGTTATAAAACATAAACAATATGACTCAAATGTTTGGTTTGCTATGGTATCTACTGCTTCTGAAGTGTATTGTAATTTGTGGTTGTGTGCAAATTGTAAATTCAAACAAAACTATTGGCATGTATTTGTAATATATTATATTTCGTTATTATTACCCTCCCAATAGAATATTAACTCCGCCTGGTGCTGTATCTTGTTGATTTTGATAATCTTGCTGTTGTTCTGGTTGATTTTTATTCTTGTGCTGTTGAGTAGCCAACGTTATGGCATAATGTTGCCCAAAAGTAATCATGCTGAAAAGAATATACATRCATTTGCGTTATTGTATTAGGTATTCAAATGAAGGTCCCTATTAAAATTTTTATAAGTTTGCATGAAAACATGATTCAGTATTCTTTTAAATATTTAATGGTATCAGTATTTTAAATGAGAAATAACATTACAAATAAAACMAACTTGTAAGTTATGAAAAATTCCATTCTGCATCAATATAGATTGAATATTAAAAATAGATGGTTGACAGAATTGTGAAAAACAGAAAAATTACTTGAAATATTAAGATGGGTATGTGTCCATGTAGTATCTATACATTTGTAGGTTTAACAATTCTTAACCGTATTTYGAACAGAATGCCTAATTAATATGACATATTATATATAGGTACCATTTCAGAGTTTGTCAATTTTATCATGCAGATATCTAGCTACCTACAAGCTACAACTTATACATTGCGTTTACTATACAATAATATTGGGCGTCACCGTTTTCGGCCAAAATGTACCCTTCCGTTTTCGGCCAGTGTCACTTTTCGGCCAACACTTACCTACCCTACTCTTTTCGGCCACTGTCACTTCTCGGCCAAAACTTAACGTTTACTTTTCGACCACTGTTCCTTTTCGGCCAGCACAGTTTTCTTTAAAATTTACAATTTATGAGTTATGATTGTATCAAAAAATGTAATTTTTTTGTTTTTAAATTTTAATTTAAAAAATGTCTATCACAACTCGATAGGTACTAAAAAGTATAGGTACGTATGCTAGAACACTTTTATACTGAGTGTTTATAATTAATGTATATAAAACACAACAATGTGTGTGTGTCGTGTTAAATTGATGTCCACGATAACATATAATTAGTTTTCCATAATGTAATATAATATTATATATATTAGATAAGATGGAAACGATAAGGTACAACATTTTGGCATTTCTATATATTGCCTATATACTTTAGACACATAATTATAAGTTATAACTGATTGGATAGCATTTTACATTGTATTATATCAAACAAGAAATAACGCTGGTTTATCTTTACTTCCAAAAAACCAACTATAAACGAAATTAAACTTACATTGAAGAGTGAGGACTATAAAAATAGTATAATTTGTTCAGTTGTTAAAATTGTAAATTTTAAAGAAAACTGTGCTGGCCGAAAAGGAACAGTGGTCGAAAAGTAAACGTTAAGTTTTGGCCGAAAAGTGACAGTGGCTGAAAAGAGTAGGGTATAAGTGTTGGCCGAAAAGTGACTCTGGCCGAAAACGGAAGGGTACATTTTGGCCGAAAAGGGGGCCACCCATAATATTATATGCCAATGCCAATGCCATTATCTATCCCTATGGGCCATAAAAGTAGTTCCTGTATTTTATAGACATAGATATAGACTATATTTTAGAAAATAGGTACCTTGGTACTTATACCTACTTACGTTCATAAATTACATCTAATACTTATGTACTTTACTATGAACATTTTGAATATTCATACTTATTTCCGCGTATAGAATAATATTACGATACATTTTCCTCACTTGTTTTTTGAGAGTAGTGGTTAATTCCCTAATCCCTCGAGATGTTTCCTCTATAAAAATGTTGATTATTATGTTGTAATTCAAAAAATATTTATCGAAGCCCGAAGGAACCTGAAACTCTTAGTATAACGGAATATCTAAATTAATTTTAAGCAAGGTGTACATCATGAACTTATCCATACTGACCATACTGTTGTATATTTTACGATATGTGGTACCTATAGGTACATATAGGTACCTATTAAATTCCTGGTTAAAACAAATGAGGTAGGTTTCGCTAGTCATCCAATAGGAATAGTCTTCCGGCTAATTTCGCCTCAAAATATAAAAGTGTTGTTCCCGTTATTTTAAAAAAAAAACCTGGTCTCCAACCTAATACCTAAATTTATCCAGACCTTCGATTACATAATTTAGCCGCTTACGGGTCGGCCATTATCTACTTCCTTCCCATTCCTATAAACTCTCTGAAAGTCTGAACGACTCCCCTTACTGTACCAAACACTCTGAAGAGATAATTTGCGACCTCTCCCATATCATCTTCAGCTACCCCTCATTATCCTCTAATCGTTTAACTCTTTTTAATTTTTTTAAATCTCAAAACATCCRACTAACTCTATCTTTTATCCTTAATCYCAATTCTGAAATTGTTATAATCCAAATATTATCCTTCATCCGTGAAACTGGTCTATCTGTTTAATTATATCTAATTATATTAAATGTAAAATTTAAATTTAATTGTAAATATATACCTTTGTAAATGTTGAAATAAATTGTAAAAACACAAAGTTTCAATAAAGAAAAAAAAATAATAATTTATTGTAATACATTGTTGTATAATGTAGGTATAATATGTTATTATACTATTATAATAATTATTCCWATTTGTGGGGTGGAAACCCTTAGCACCTCATTCATCCAGTCACCGTGATTCGCCCTCAAATACGCCACTGCAGCAACTAGTAACTGCCCTGATTTTAGTAGGTAAGTGATTTTCATTCTTAATGATATTTCTGAATCATGGGCGTCCCCAGAAATTTTTCTAGAGGGGGGCAAAATTAATTTTAAAAATAAATGAAAATTTTTTTATACCTACATTTTATTCATAATAAATCATTGTGTTTCGTCGTTATTACAATTAGGTAGGTATTATTATTACAATTAAAACATTAAAAAACATTACTATACCAGAATTTTACCATCAATTGCTGTGGAAATAACATTATTCCAGGGGGGGGGGGCAAGTGCCCCGTCTTGCCTCCCCTGGGGACGCCCATGTTCTGAATGCCCTCTCATTTAGTTTAATTTTTATATCCTTTAATTAATGAAATTAAAAATGTTATTAATATTATATTGTAATGGTGATTAAATCATTTTAACATACCTACCTAATAAAGGTACCTAAGTATCTAAAAACTTAAATTTAAGAGCCACATGACTTGGTACTTAACATTTTTTACGGCTYGTTTGTTGTGATACCTCTAGGTAAGAATAATGAATTTCTCGGAATATTAAGTAGCTATTGATTTTTAGCATTTACTAACTAAAATAGTAGATATGCTTAATATAGGTACCATAGTACGCAATAGGTCACGTAAATACGTAATCAATAAATATTGCAAGATAAATTTTTTGGGGTGGGTAATTGGAATAATAATTAACGTTAATATTAAAATTAAAAGATCCGTGTATATCTGGGTGTTTCATAGAAATATTTCCCCATAGCTTTTTAATTTATCTTTGATTTAGTAGGTATACTATCTCTCAGTGGCGAATTTAGAAGGGGGTTCAACCTGTATGGTTGATACGGGTGTTGATTGAAAATAATTAGAATTCAATGGAGGGTTGAAATATTAATTTTTTTTGTAACTCGCCGATCTTTATACGCCACTTGTATCTTTAGAGAAGTTCTATTAAATGCCGGAATAAAAAATATGATTTTGTAATRATATCAAACTGTTGAAAGTAATTTGTATTTAATATTTCGGATAATATTTGTACCTAACTACTTAATACTAATATAATAATAGGTACTATAATTACTAAAAGTCTTATCATGATTATTGATAATTTGTTGTAATAAACAAACGTTTTAAGCTAGTCTATAATAATAAATTATATAATTATAATATTATTGTTTTTAATTTAGCAAAATATTGATTTGGCAATAATTGTTTTCCTTGTATTTTTCCTGTCTTTTTTGCCTTAGGTATACCTGCTTGTCTTAATAATTATAGGAGAAAGATTTAATAGTTAAAAAATATATAAACATTAAAATTAAAATAGTCAATCAATAAAATATTACAATATTTGTTTCGTTCTAAAAGTTATTGAATTCCAAACCTTTTTATATCCAACATATATGATTGTATTTTGTAGCTGGTGTACCTATTAGGTACTTGCTATATTTTAAGGTTAGACAGTATTGTAAATATTTTTTCACATAAAATATAGTATAATGTGAAAACGGTTAAAATTTAAATTAGTGATTACTTTGACACTTGTCCATTTCAATTGTAATAATAAAAGTTAAAAACAAATGTAATCTAACATGAACGGATGAAATTGCCAAGAGAAAATAAATAGGTACCTAAATGACAGTAAAATCTGTATACGTGGATTGGAAGGATCCCATCAATTGAATATAATACGTATATAATATATATAGCCATATAGCCATATAGGAAACGATTTGGCAGAGCTTCAGATTGTATGTCAAAGGCAGGCTGATTATTTGTCTACTAACTGCTGTAAGTAGCGCATTTGCGTTAAGTCATCTAAGTAATTTTAGTTTTGGTTTTTTTAAGAAAATTATAGGTACCTACTCATTTATACCCTTATTGTCCAGCGCCTAAAATTGTTCAAATCTACCTATTAAATATGTAATTACCTACCTACTATATTAGCACTCAAACTCAATTAACAAAAAATAAACAATATTAATCATCATGATTATAGCCGGTATGTATGCCTATATATAATTACGATCCGTTAAAAATGTAGGTATATTTTTAAGTAGGTAGATATAGGCATAGTAATCTAATTTAATACAGTTTTGTTCCGCCCAACATGTTTTAATTATTGCATTTTTAGTACCTAATCAATATTTCTAGGCATGATAAGCGCTCTTATACCTATAGCGCCAAGGACAAAGGTTCCCATTTGCTCCCCCCCCAGAGCTGACTGGATCGGACAGCGATTATTTGGTACAAATAACGCTCATAACATTTCATTCACAGGCCAAGTTATTAATAATATTGATGTTATGCAAATTGACAATTATTGATGATTAAGATTTAGATTTATAAAAACTAATTAGTTAGAACCATTAGTTATAGGTACTTATACAATATACATGAATATGATATATATATACATTATACATAATATATATTTTATTTATTACAATGGTAGTTTTTCTAGAARGTAGATAGTACCTTTTTTTTCATGTTCAAAAACCAGGAACTGTTCATCACAATACTGCCAAGGTAGATAGTACCATAGGTATTGACCAAATACAATATTAGTTTTTGTARTTATCATACAAAAAAGATAATTAATAATAAATAATACATTTTTGGTATGTTTCTACATACCTATTTTTCAATATAAATATTTTATGAAACCATTTTTCCTACATATTATATAGGTATAATGTTCATTATATTATGTAATACCTACTTAACCATTTTTTAAACCTAACTAGATACCTATAGGACGTATACCTACTACATATTTCTACTTGCACTTATTAATTTAGTAGATAAATAATAAATAAATTAAAGGTAAATATTCAATATCAAGTATTTATTATTATTTAGTCCAATGTATGTTTGATTTTTGTAATTTATAATATTATTGTTATCTTAATAATTGTCGACCTGTAATAACTTTAAGGTTGAAAGCTAAATAKAAAATCATAACTCTACTATATTWTTCCTCTACAAGGAAAATCTATAAATCATGAATATGTTTTTGTTTATAAGTAACCATGACAACGGATACCGTACGAAAAATTGATTAGAAACATTTTATTGTGTATTCAGCAGTTTAAAAACAAAGTT